ATGTTCCTGCTCAAGAGCGACTGAATAACAGAAACTTTCTTTCTCAGTATTCCACGTTTGGACGGTCCTGATACTTCAAATTGATCCACATTCCTTTGATTTCCAATGTCACAAAGTAAAGGCCTATTCCTGTTTTGGAAGTTTTAAATTTCCGGTCTGAGTATATCTTTAGGATCTTAGTTAATGTTTTTTACATTTCTTTACGACTTTCTTAGCTGTCCAGTGTACGAAGGAGGTGGTTTACATTCGCCCGTTTAAACAGTCTGGTCACACAAAAACCACGGGTACTACGCCCGACTACTTGATCGATATGTCTTCTTATGGAATACCCATTTCCCCCTCCAGCTACTTGAGATATGCGACTGTTTACGAGAGATATGACTTGAAACCTTATCTTGGTGAACCCATAACTTGTTGGCTTCGTTTCTAGACAGATTTCACACTGTTGCCTAGGGCGAGTGGTCAGCTTTTTCCACTGATCTTTGTGTGTGTTGATTCTCACCCGTTTCAAGAAGCTACACGTTACTTATACGGTTTGGATACGACCTGTAGCAGGTTTCTTTTTGGATGGTCCTGATACTTCAAATTGATCCACATTCCTTTCATTTCAAATGTCACTAAGTAAAGGGATATTCCTGTCTTGGAAGTTTTAAATTTCCTGTCTGAACACATCTTTAGGATCTTAGTTAATGAATATTTTGCTTGGTAGAGGGCTATTACATATCTTTCCAAAAAGTGGTCGTTTTTAGGTGGCGTCACACTACCAACAAAACGCCAAGTAATGTCAAAATGAAGTTCTGATACATTTCATTCCACCATGACTTTATATCAACTGTGATTGTCACGCAACTTACTAATTTGCATACTCAAAACCGTTTCTACTTAACGTACTCAACCTTTGTGTATGATCAGAACTCTAGAATGTAAATGGCGTGTCTATGTGAATTTCAACAGAGATAAAAAAAATTCGAGAAAGTCAGTTTATAAAATAATGAAAACTAGAAAAAAAAACATAATAATAAAATAACAGTAAATTTGATTAAATTATGATAAAATGATTTTAATGTAATATTAATAACGAAATGGCAAAAGTGTGTTTGTTTGTTTGAAGTTAAGCACAAAGTTACACAATGGGCTATTTGTGCTCTGCCAACCACGGTTATCGAAACCTTGTTCCTAGGGGCGTAAGTCATCAGACATGCTGCTGTGCCACTGGGGCGGGGGCAAAAGTATGAAAGGTATTGTTTTATCATACGTGGGCCGGGCGTAGCCAAATGGTTAGCCTTGGATTGTGAAACCACGCTTAGCATTAAAGCGCCATGGATGAGCTATAAAAGTGACCGCCGGATCGTATTATTCGATCAGACAAAAATAGCTGACTAATTGACGGTGGGTGCTGTTGACTGGCCGCCTTCCTTCTAGTCTATGAGCTCAATATTAGAAACGATTATGCGTAGATATGCATCTTTGTGCTAAAATTCTGAAACAAACTGTACACACGTACATAGATTAGATTATTAGGTATGTGCTGAAATAATTCCGTTATCATGTTTTATGAACGTAATATAGCAGTGTTCTAATAAGTCTTTTAGTTATTCAATCTTTATGTAACATCGAATAAATTATAATAATCAAAAAGTGATGATGCTCTTGTTTTAAAGTAAAACTACACAATAGGATTTTGTCCACCACAGAGATTCGAATCACATATTTTACTGTTGTAAGCTTACTGCTGACCCTCCCCCCCGGCGGACGTGAAGAGAAAGGAGGGAGTGCGTTAGTTTAACTTAAATTTTTCGTAGGGTCTTTGTTTGTTTGTAATTAAGCACAAAGCTACACAATGGGCTACCTATGCTCTGCCCACCACGGGTATCGAAACCCGGTTTCTAGCGTAGTAAGTCCGCAGACATTCCGCTGTTCCACTGGGGGGCCCGTAGGGTCTTTAGAGATTTTCAAATAATCAGTAACTTAGAAAACGCCATCTATTAGGCATGTATAAAACTAAATGGGAAACTAGAATTTAAGAAATATGAAAAAGTATTCACTAGATGGCAGTAACACAAATCAACAAAGTAACATATTTGAAGCTGGTTTGTTTGAAGTTAATCACCAAACCACACAATGGGCTGTCTGTGCTCTACCCATCACGGGTATCGAAACCTGGTGTCTACTGTGGTAAGTCTGCAGACATACCGCTGTGCCACTGGGGGGATTTGTAAGGAGAGGAGTGCGCTATGATTAAGGAAAATTTTTATTCTGATTTTATGTAGTCTCTTAAGTCATAACAGTATTTGGCGTCCACTTTCCGGTCAAATCTGTTTCTGAAATAATGAGAAATTTTTGAAATAAATGCGATACGTTTTTCAATCTTGAGAAAATAAAATAATTTTACTAATTAATTTTATCGAACTTATCTATTCTTTAAGGATTATTAAAATAATCTTAGTTTAAAAAATTCTCGGAGTATAACTAAACAGGAAAAAAACAAACTTAACATAT